TATTTTTAGGGACTTTTTGGATGTCTTTGTTATCGTTTATTTTAGACGACATTCTGATTTTCTCCCCCTGTCGTTGGGGAACACAGAATACATGTAGCAAAGGTAATTGTGGGCGATTGCGGCAGCATGGGTTGTACGCCAAGGCAGAGAAATGTTGTTTTGAACAATCCAGCAATTGCCTTCTTGGGCCTGATTATCTCCACCACCGGGGGTCCGCGATGGATCCCCAGAAAGGTCGCAGCAATACTGGATTGGCCCTGAACCCACAGACAGGAAAGGCGTCCAACGATGTTCGTCGGTTTTGCAAATTTTTAACCGGAAGTTCATCAAGAAACTTCTCGGGTCTGGTCTCCCCCATTACTCAGCTAACCAAGCTGGGAACCCGGTTCAGATGGGACACCAGAAGCGCAGGGAGCTTTCGAAGCCTTGAAGAAGCTGTTCACTTCGGCACCCATTTTAGGGTCACCCAGAAGCCGCCTTGCCCTATATCTTGGAGGTAGATGCATCGGAGAATGCGGTAGGCTCCATCCTCTCCCAACGAAAAGGCACCAAGGAACTGCTCCATCCTGTGGCATTCTTCTCACAGAAGCTTACCCCAGCGGAGAGGAACTATGATATCGGTGATCGAGAGCTACTAGCGATCAAAACGGCATTAGAGGAATGGAGGTACCTACTGGAAGGTGCGGTGCACCCCATCTTAATATTTACTGACCACAAGAACTTAAATATCTGAGAACCGCCAAGCGTCTACGCCCGCGGACAGGCGAGATGGGCAACTATTCTTTTCAAGATTCAACTTCCACATTACGTACCGGCCTGGATCAAAGAACACTAAGCCGGATGCGTTATCACGGATGTACGAAGACGCCAAGGAGATCCCAGTACCCGACACCATCCTGTCCTCGGGTAACTTCTTGGCCCTTCAATCGGACCTTCGTTCCAGGCTAATGGAGGCATCCACAAACTTCTCTACCCCAGGCGGAGGGCCGCTCCAGAACAAGGGGGGACTCCTATGGAGGGAAGATCGAATTGTGGTGCCGGGAAGAAGCCCGAACCCTGGTCTTGGGGCATTGCCATGACCACCCGATGGCGGGGCACTTTGGCCCAGAAAAGACCCTGGAACTTCTCCGACGCTCATTCTGGTGGCCAGACATGGCTAAGGATTGTAAGGGCTATGTAAGGTCCTGTGTCACCTGCCAGAAGAACAAACCAGCAAGAAACAAGGTTTGGGGTCTGCTGCGACCCTTACCTATTCCTGAACGGTCTTGGCAAAAGATCTCATTAGACTTTATAGTCGAGCTTCCGCCATCCCTAGACCACACGGCAATCCTGGTGGTCGTGGACCGCTTGTCGAAGATGGCCCCACTTCATCCCGTTGAAGAAAACCCCCTCGGCTGCCGAGACCGCGAGTCTTCATTCGTGAGGTAGTAAGGTTGCATGGGGTCCCCGAAGACATTGTCTCGGACCGGGGGGTCCAGTTCACGTCAAGATTTTGGAGAGCACTGTGCAAAGCCCTGGACATCAAATTGTCTCTCTCCTCTGCGTTCCACCCTCAAACTAACGGTCAAACCGAAAGGACCAATCAGACCTTAGAGCAATACTTAAGATGCTATACTTCGTTTACTCAAGATGACTGGATGCCACTTCTACCTCTAGCGAAATTTGCGTACAACAACGCCCGCCACTCAGCGACAGAACAGTCCCCCGTTCTTTGCCAACTATGGCTTTCACCCAGTCTTCCTCCCGATTTGGTCTCGGAATGCCCAGTACCTGCAACGCAAGATGTGGTAACGTTTTTCGCCGCAAACAATAGGAAGCTTCAAGAGGCCATCAGTCGGGCCCAGGAAGACTACAGGAAAGCATTCAACAGGAAACGGAGAGGAGATCTGGTATTGCGGCCTGGGGAGAAGGTTTGGCTGGCGACGTCCAATTTTAAAGATGCTTTGCCCGTCAAAAAAATTGGGACCCAAATTTTATAGGCCCCTTCTGCATTAAACGGATGGTTAACGAAGTAGCCTACGAACTCGTCCTACCTGACATGCTCAAGATCCACCCCAGTCTTCCATGTGTCCCTGCTGAAGCCAGTGGTCCCAGATACGTTCCCTGACCGGGACTCTAGACCCCCGGAAGCGGTAACGGTCGAGGGAGAAGAAGAATTTGAGGTTGAAACAATCCTGAAGTGTCGAAGGAGGGGAGGCCAGACCCAATTCCTTATCAAATGGAAGGGCTATGGCCCTGAGGACAATTCTTGGGAACCAGCCCATAATGTCCATGCAACCAGACTTGTCCGGAGGTTTTTTTTCGCGATCACCCGTGGTGGAGAGATCGGGTGGGCATCCGGAGGCTGCCCGTAGGGGGGGGGCAATGTCAGGGATCTCCTCGATCCCTGCCGCGATGGTCCCGGCGCAGGCGCAGTGCACCGCCTTGTGCAGGGACACGGGCACTAGGTCCGGGCCGGCCGCGGCGTTCGAGTTCGCGCATGCGCAGTAGAAGCCGCGGGCCGCCCCGCTGGGCACCAATGGCAGCGCAGGGCGGGATATTTAAATGGCCCTGAGCTGTCATTCAGTGCCTTCTGGTCTTCCCTGCATCCTGTGAACCTGTGAACCTGTACCCTTTGTAAGTTTTGACCCGGATTATACCTGACCTTGCTGCTTTCTCCTGTTCTGACCCTTGCTTTGCCTGACCTCTCTCCTGAATGCCCCTGATTGGATTTGACCTGCTGTTGCTGACCTGGCGTGTGACCCGACCATTCTATGCCCGCTGCCTTGTACCTTGCCGTCCTCTCTGTTACCGACCCGGCCCGTCTGACCTTGCTCATCCATCCATCCATCCCTTGCAGTGGGGTCTTCTGACCTCCTCACATCAGACTCTTCCCCGTGGGAGCCCTTGGCGCATACTACTACCACTGATGGACGCAACCAGTAGTCACGACCTGGTCTCGGGGAGCTCCAAGTCCATCCCCACCATCAGGGGCTCTGGTGAACAAGCACCCTGGGACTTAGATTCCGTGCGCTGGGGACGCCTATTCAGTGGAGTGCTAGTGGTACCGCCAGGCGGTCCCTTACAGCCCCATCATTGGTATCAGTGGAAGGAATAGTGCCCCATCATTAGTATCAGTGGGAGGAATAGTGCCCCATCATTGGTGTCAGTGGGAGGAATAGTGCCCCATCATTGGTGTCAGTGGGAGGAATAGTGCCCCATCATTGGTATCAGTGGGAGGAATAGTGCCCCATCATTGGTATCAGTGGGAGGAATAGTGCCCCATCATTGGTGTCAGTGGGAGGAATAGTGCCCCATCATTGGTATCAGTGGGAGGAATAGTGCCCCATCATTGGTGTCAGTGGGAGGAATAGTGCCCCATCATTGGTATCAGTGGGAGGAATAGTGCCCCATCATTGGTGTCAGTGGGAGGAATAGCGCCCCATCATTGGTGTCAGTGGGAAGAATCGTGCCTCATCATTGGTGTCAGTGGGAGGAATAGCGCCCCATCATTGGTGTCAGTGGGAGGAATAGCGCCCCATCATTGGTATCAGTGGAAGGAATGGTGCCCCATCATTGGTATCAGTGGGAGGAATAGTGCCCCATCAATGGTGTCAGTGGGAGGAATAGTGCCCCATCATTGGTGTCAGTGGAAGGAATAGTGCCCCATCATTGGTATCAGTGGGAGGAATAGTGCCCCATCATTGGTGTCAGTGGGAGGAATAGTGCCCCATCATTGGTATCAGTAGGAGGAATAGTGCCCCATCATTGGTGTCAGTGGGAGGAATAGTGCCCCATCATTGGTGTCAGTGGGAGCAATAGCGCCCCATCATTGGTGTCAGTGGGAAGAATCGTGCCTCATCATTGGTGTCAGTGGGAGGAATAGTGCCCCATCATTGATGTCAGTGGGAGGAATAGCGCCCCATCATTGGTATCAGTGGAAGGAATAGTGCCCCATCATTAGTATCAGTGGGAGGAATAGTGCCCCATCATTGGTGTCAGTGGGAGGAATAGTGCCCCATCATTGGTGTCAGTGGGAGGAATAGTGCCCCATCATTGGTATCAGTGGGAGGAATAGTGCCCCATCATTGGTATCAGTGGGAGGAATAGTGCCCCATCATTGGTGTCAGTGGGAGGAATAGTGCCCCATCATTGGTATCAGTGGGAGGAATAGTGCCCCATCATTGGTGTCAGTGGGAGGAATAGTGCCCCATCATTGGTATCAGTGGGAAGAATCGTGCCCCATCATTGGTGTCAGTGGGAGGAATAGTGTCCCATCATTGGTGTCAGTGGGAGGAATAGCGCCCCATCATTGGTGTCAGTGGAAGGAATAGTGCCCCATCATTGGTGTCAGTGGGAGGAATAGTGCCCCATCATTGGTGTCAGTGGGAGGAATAGTGCACCATCATTGGTGTCAGTGGGAGGAATAGTGCCCCATCATTGGTGTCAGTGGGAGGAATAGTGCCCCATCATTGGATCAGTGGGAGGAATAGTGCCCCATCATTGGTGTCAGTGGGAGGAATAGTGCCCCATCATTGGTATCAGTGGGAGGAATAGTGCCCCATCATTGGTGTCAGTGGGAGTAATAGCGCCCCATCATTGGTGTCAGTGGGAGGAATAGCGCCCCATCATTGGTGTCAGTGGGAAGAATCGTGCCTCATCATTGGTGTCAGTGGGAGGAATAGTGCCCCATCATTGGTATCAGTGGCAGGAATAGTGCCCCATCATTAGTATCAGTGGGGGGAATAGCACCCCATTATTGATGTCAGTGGAATAGTGCCCCATCTTTGGTGTCAGTGGGATGAATAGTGTCCCATCATTGGTGTCAGTGGGAGGAATAGTGTCCCAACATTGGTGTCAGTGGGAGGAATAGTATCCCATCATTGGTGTTAGAAATGAGCGAAGTATTCAAAAATTCGATTCGGCTGATTCGGCAAATTCGAGGAATAAATTTGATTAGATGCGAATATATTCGCTGCGAATTTAACTTATAAAAAGGGTTTCTAGGCTTCAGAGAGCCTTTATATTAGTGCAGAACACTGTACCTTTAATTTAAATGCCCTTGGAGTCTGCTGGGGAAGAGAAATAATACTGTCAGTCAGTATGACATGCAGATGAGTGCCGTCGATCTTAGAATCACCGCACACTTCACTCATTTGGGCAGTCACGGGGCCAAAACCAGAGTGTGGAGCCACAGTGTGGCAGTGGAGGCAGCAGCAATGGGAGGCCATACAGCACCCTATGACAAAAATGGAACCCACCAGCAGTGTGAGGAGACCTGAAAGTGGCACATGGCAGAGTGTGGCGATGGAGACAGCAGCAATGGGAGGCCTTACAGGGACCCATTAGACACTCTGTACCTGGCAGCAGCATGAGGAGGCGGTACCGGGGCCCATGGCAGATTACAGGCCTGGCAGCAGCAATGGGAGGCCCGTAATCTGCCAGTATCCTATGACAAAATGGAACACACCCAGCAGTGTGAGGAGACCTTAAAGTGGCACATGGCAGAGTGTGGCGATGGAGACAGCAGCAATGGGAGGCCGTACAGGGACCCATGAGATGGAGACAGAGAGACTCTGGACCTGGCAGCAGCATGAGGAGGCGGTACAGGGGCCCATGGCAGATTACAGGCCTGGCAGCAGCAATGGGAGGCCCGTAATCTGCCAGCACCCTATGACAAAATGGAACACACCAGCAGTGTAAGGAGACCTGAAAGTGGCACATGGCAGAGTGTGGCGATGGAGACAGCAGCAATGGGAGGCCGTACAGGGACCCATGAGAGACTCTGGACCTGGCAGCAGCATGAGGAGGCGGTACGGGGGCCCATGGCAGATTACGGGCCTGGCAGCAGCAATGGGAGGCCCGTAATCTGCCAGCACCCTATGACAAAATGGAACACACACCAGCAGTGTGAGGAGACCTGAAAGTGGCACATGGCAGAGTGTGGCGATGGAGACAGCAGCAATGGGAGGCCGTACAGGGACCCATTAGACACTCTGTAGCTGGCAGCAGCATGAGGAGGCGGTACAGGGGCCCATGGCAGATTACGGGCCTGGCAGCAGCAATGGGAGGCCCGTAATCTGCCAGCATCCTATGACAAAATGGAACACACCAGCAGTGTGAGGAGACCTGAAAGTGGCACATGGCAGAGAGTGTGGCGATGGAGACAGCAGCAATGGGAGGCCGTACAGGGACCCATGAGAGACTCTGGACCTGGCAGCAGCATGAGGAGGCGGTACAGGGGCCCATGGCAGATTACAGGCCTGGCAGCAGCAATGGGAGGCCCATAATCTGCCATCATCCTATGACAAAATGGAACACACCAGCAGTGTGAGGAGACCTGAAAGTGGCACATGGCAGAGTGTGGCAATGGAGACAGCAGCAATGGGAGGCCTTAGAGGGACCCATGACACACTCTGGACCTGGCAGCAGCATGAGGAGGCGGTACAGGGGCCCATGGCAGATTACAGGCCTGGCAGCAGCAATGGGAGGCCCGTAATCTGCCAGCACCCTATGACAAAATGGAACACACCAGCAGTGTGAGGAGACCTGAAAGTGGCACATGGCAGAGTGTGGCGATGGAGACAGCAGCAATGGGAGGCCGTACAGGGACCCATGAGAGACTCTGTACCTGGCAGCAGCATGAGGAGGCGGTACAGGGGCCCATGGCAGATTACAGGCCTGGCAGCAGCAATGGGAGGCCCGTAATCTGCCAGCACCCCTATGACAAAATGGAACCCACCAGCAGTGTGTGAGGAGACCTGAAAGTGGCACATGGCAGAGTGTGGCGATAAAGACAGCAGCAATGGGAGGCCGTACAGGGACCCATGACACACTCTGGACCTGGCAGCAGCATGAGGAGGCGGTACAGGGGCCCATGGCAGATTACGGGCCTGGCAGCAGCAATGGGAGGCCCGTAATCTGCCAGCACCCTATGACAAAATGGAACCCACCAGCAGTGTGAGGAGACCTGAAAGTGGCACATGTTTGGGGCATGATTCATGGCGGATTTAGTCAGTTGTGTCAGGGACTGGTGGTTTGAAATCCAGACTAATCCACGCCTGATTCATTTTCACAAACGTGAGTCTCTCCACACTTTGGGTGGACAGTCGTGTCCTCCGCGGAGTTACAATACCTCCTGCCGCACTAAACACGCGCTCTGATGCCACGCTACTGGCCGGGCATGACAGCCTTTCAAGGGCAAATTCAGCTAGTTGGGGCCAAAGGTCAAGTTTCGTTGCCCAGTAGTCAAGGGGATTGTCTACCTCGGTTGGCAGGGTGCTGTCCAAGTAGGCCCAAGCCTGTTGTTTGAGGTCCTGCTCCAGGTCCACCTGATGCTGCTGCGGCTGGTTAGTCGTTTCCTCACTGCGCTGGTGAAGAAAGCTACTCATCATCAACTGCAGACTGTGGCAGCCGCTGCTGGTGGAGCTGCCACTGCTCCTACCACCCCACCCCTCCCCTGCTGCCATGGCAGCGGAACGCGAGTGCACAGGGCCCACAGTGTCTGAGGATGGACGTTGGCGCAGAAAGGCAGAGACCAACTGACTACATAGGTGGTTTTTTATAGTACTTTATTTTGGCCTCCCTCTCAGCAGGTGTGAAAAAGGCCACCATTTTTGAACGGTAGCGAGGGTCCAACAAGGTGGACAGCCAAAAGTCATCCCTCTGTCTGATTATTCGGCTGTCGCTACGCAAGCAACCGAACATGCTATGGGCCATTTGTGCCAAGGAATGCGAGGGACTCCCTGCCTCCATCTCCACAGCATACTGCCACGGTGCGTCTGGGTCCTCTGTCTCCTCCTCCTCCTCTACCAGATGCTCCTGCTCCTCCACTCCTGTCCGCTGAGTGGAAAAACCACCCATTTCACTCAATAATTCCTGAGCACCAATGTCCTCCTCTACCTCCTCCTCTTCTTCCTGTCCTGCCCCCACAGGGTCATGTGGCGTTGAGATCTGTGCGCCACGTCTACCGCACCCTGACCAGCCATTGTTAACAGCATTTGTTCCAGGACGTGCAACAGAGGAATGACGTCGTTCATCCCATAGTCCTGCCGACTCACGAATAGCGTGGCCTCCTCAAAGGGCCTGAGCAAGCGGCAGGTGTCACGCATGAGCTGCCAATGGCTGACATCGAAGTTACACAGGGGAGTACCTTTATCCGCTTGTAACATCAGGAAATCGGTGATGGCCTTTCGCTGTTCGTAAAGGCGGTCTAACATGTGTAGGGTTGAATTCCACCTTGTTGCAACGTCGCAGATCAGGCGATGCTGTGGAATTCCGTTCTGCCGCTGCAGCTCAAGGAGGGTGTGCTTTGCGGTGTAGGAATGGCTGAAATGCATGCAAAGTTTACGTGACATTTTAAGGATGTCTTGCAGTGGGATGGTGGATTTTAGGAACCGCTTGACAACCAGATTGAACACGTGAGCCATGCATGGCGCATGGCACAACCTTCCTTGACGCAGAGCAGACACCATGTTCTTTCTGTTGTCGGTCAACATGGTTCCGATTTTCAGTTTGCGCGGAGACAGCCATCTGTCGATTTCTCTGTTCATTACACTCAGAAGTTCCTCCCCTGTGTGACTACGTTCGCCAAGGCATACCAGGTGCAGCACAGCGTGACACCATTGCGCCCGCTGCACATGTGATATGCCGGTCGGGTAATGGGACTGGGCACGGGGGGGGTGGCGGCTGAGGACACGGAGGAAGAAGAGGTGGTAGAGGCGGACATCTTTGCCGGACCAAAGGACGTGCAAACGTGGAGGCAAAAGCGGAGTGACCTGTCCAAGTTGCTGGTGCGGCTGTGCCGGCACCACGTTCTCCCAGTGGGCCGTAAATGACATGTACTGTCCCTGACCGTAGTTACAGCTCCACACGTCGGCGCTGCCGTGCACTTTGGCAGAGGAGAGCCGACATGCTCAAAGACTGGCCCACCATCTCTTCTACATGTGAATGCAGGGCTGGCACTGCCTTTTTGGCGAAGAAATGCCGGATTGGCACTCTCCACCGCGGCGCGGCACAAGCCATCATTTCTCTGAAAGGTGCTGAGTCCACCACTTGGAAAGGGAGGGACTGCAGCACCAGCAACTTGGACAGGAGGACGTTCAGCTTCTGCACCGTCGGGTGCGTGCTCGCAAACTGTTGTCTCTTGGAAACGGATTCCAAGAAAGACTGCTGACGGAATCCGTGAAGAGGAGTAGCAGGAGAAGGAGCATCTGAACGAGCGGAAGATGCCAACGAGCGACAACTCCCCTCAGCAGAGGTGTTGGAGCCTTGACTGGCTCATAGAGGGCGATTGACGTCGGGTGACGGAGCAAGTAAACGGAGCGGGTGATGGAGCGGGGGCTGTGGGGCAGGCAGAACCCGCCGTATCTTTATCACGGTTTTCCCAGGCCACCAAATGGCGACGCTGCATATGCTGCCGCAACGCTGTAGTCCCAACATGGGCCCCCTGGCCACGCTTGACTTTCTGGCCACATAATCGACATACGGCTACGTTTACTTCCTCGGGCGGCTTGACGAAAAATTGCCACACCGCTGAGTAGGAAACTTTGCCCCCGCTGCTCCTCACTGGCTGACTGCTACTTCCTCCGTGCACACCGGCACCACTACTGGCCGTGGTGGTAGGCTGCAGTGGAGCTGGTGCTCTACTGTGTGGCCGTTTGCCTCCACTGACACTGCTGCGACCCTGCTGCCTCCTGGGCAACCCACCGACTGTTTTGCTCGCTGCCAAGCTGGCACCCTCTTCTCCTGATGATGCGGAAGCAATAGCCTGATGACGACGAGGCTGCCAAGTGCGATCAGCCTCATCATCATCAATTAGGGTCTCCGCCTCACTACTAGCCCCCTCGGCCTGCGTGTGGGTCAGGAGACAGACCTGTCTCTAGACCGGCTACCGAGCCACTCTCCTCGCCAGTACTTCTTCGCCTGGCTGCTGAAGAGGGCGGATGTCTCCCCCCGTTCCTGACCGCCCTCTGTTAGCTCTTCCTCACTGTACAGTGGGGCTGAGCCCACAGCATGCGATACTTTGCTTGGTGAGGGAAACCAAAGGACAGGGGCAGGTATAGGAGGACACGTGATTTCAGTGGGCATTGCTCCGAGGCCCATGCCAACTAACGGTTGTGTCTGACGTACCCACCGACCGTTGGCTGTAGGTGTCAGAGGTGACCTGGGAAGAGGGAAGACGACCGAGCCAACCAATCGATGACGGCAGGTTGTCGGTGGAGACACGACCGCTGGATGACACCAGGAGAGCACTGGCCTCTGGCTGCGACTAGTGCTGCCCTCGACCCCTTCCTCTGCTGCCACGTCTGCTCGCTCCTAAAACATTGCCTCCTCTGCTGCCACTCCTCTGCATGTTGTCTGACATACTCTTTAATTCAACGATTCTGTGTCCCTGAGTAACAATTCTGTTTTCCCTCAGTAACAATTCTGTGTCTGTCCTTGAGTAACAATTCTGTGTCCCTGAGTAACAATTCTGTGCCCCTGTTTAACAATTCTGTGTCCCTCAGTAACAATTCTGTGTCCCTGAGTAACAATTCTGTGTCCCCTCAGTAACAATTCTGTGTCCCTCAGTAACAATTCTGTGTCCCCTCAGTAACAATTCTGTGTCTGTCCCTGAGTAACAATTCTGTGTCCTCAGTAACAATTCTGTGTCTGTCCCTGAGTAACAATTCTGTGTCCCTGAGTAACAATTCTGTGTCCCTCAGTAACAATTCTGTGTCCCTGAGTAACAATTCTGTGTCTGTCCCTGAGTAACAATTCTGTGTCCCTGAGTAACAATTCTGTGTCCCTGAGTAGCAATTCTGTGTCCCTGAGTAACAATTCTGTGTCCCTCAGTAACAATTCTGTGTCCCCTCATAACAATTCTGTGTCTGTCCCTGAGAGTAACAATTCTGTCCCCCCCCGAGTAACAGTTCTGTGTCCCCGAGTAACAATTCTGTGTCCCCTCAGTAACAATTGTGTGTCCCTCTGTAACAATTCTGTGTCCCTCAGTAACAATTCTGTGTCCCTCAGTAACAATTCTGTGTCTGTCCCCTGAGTAACAATTCTGTGTCTGTCCCTGAGTAACAATTCTGTGTCTGTCCCTGAGTAACAATTATGTGTCCCTGAGTAACAATTCTGAGTGTCCCTCAGTAACAATTCTGTGTCCCCTCAGTAACAATTCTGTGTCCCTCAGTAACAATTCTGTGTCCCTGAGTAACAATTCTGTGTCCCTCAGTAACAATTCTGTGTCCCTCAGTAACAATTCTGTGTCCCTCAGTAACAATTCTGTGTCTGTCCCTGAGTAACAATTCTGTGTCCCTCAGTAACAATTTGTGTCCCCTCAGTAACAATTCTGTGTCTGTCCCTGAGTAACAATTCTGTGTCCCTCAGTAACAATTCTGTGTCTGTCCCTGAGTAACAATTCTGTGTCCCTGAGTAACAATTCTGTGTCTCTGAGTAGCAAATTCTGTGTCCCTGAGTAACAATTCTGTGTCCCTCAGTAACAATTCTGTGTCCCTCAGTAACAATTCTGTGTCTGTCCCCTGAGTAACAATTCTGTGTCCCCGAGTAAACAGTTCTGTGTCCCCGAGTAACAATTCTGTGTCCCTCAGTAACAATTGTGTGTCCCTCTGTAACAATTCTGTGTCCCTCAGTAACAATTCTGTGTCCCTCAGTAAACAATTC